AAGAATTCAGCATATCATGAGCGAACCAAGCATATTGATGTGAGGCTGCATTTCATCAGAGGGGTAATCGAGCATGGAGAAGTCTAAGTGCTGAAGATTTCGACAGATCATACTGCCGCTGATATGATCACCAAGACGTTGCCCAGTTGCAAGTTTTTCCACTGTATGCAGTTAATAAAGCTGCATGAAGAAAGCTAGTTTCTTGATGTTACAGAGTTAGATCAAAGGTGGAGATTTGTGAGATGTTGGATCGAACTCTAGTATGGTCGAAGTCTGTTCGCGAGTAATGCATGTTGTAGTCGAAGTCTGTTCTAACATGCATTAGTCAATATTGCTAGGGTTGTTAGCATGTTGAATTGGGCCTTGCTTATAAGCCCAATTGTTTAAGTTAGCTTGTAATGAGTAATTGTTAAAAAGCCCATTAGGTTAGTGTGCTATTTTATTATAAATAGGATGCTAGTTTCTCAATCTTGGCATAAGGAAAAATAGAAAGATAAAATCCTAATTTCAAGGGAGAAAGGTTATTTTGTTATTCTTGTATACTTGTAATCTTGTTCTAAGAGAAAGGAAAGAATAGCAGTTTAATAACCAATCCTTGTTGTTGTTGCTTTCTTCTTTATTAACCTTAACCCTTGTGTGTTTCTTGATCACAAAGAAACCGTTTATACTTTGTTTAAAGGTATCTGATTCACAACAATATATATATATATATATATATATATATATATATATATATATATATATATATATATATATATATATATATATATATATATATATATATATATATATATATATATATATATATATATATATATATATATATATATATATATATACACACACACGCGCGCGCGCGCGCACACACTTACACCCCATGCTAAAATAGTATTTTAATATATTTATTTGACTTTTTCTAAATATAAAAAAATTTATGATATAATGTATATTTAAACATAACATAAATTTATATAATTTTGTACTTGTTAAAAACGCATAACGAGGATGATCTTGTAATGCCCCAAACTATTTTCAGGATTACCGAATGACTTCACAAATCAACACGAGTCTTTTCAGCATGCTTTGTCCTCACTCGCACGCTTTTCAGCATGTTTTGTCCTTACTTACATGCTTTCAAAGAAACTCCCCATAAGGTTACCCATCCAAAAATTTCTCAAAGTCAGGCACGCTTGTCTGTTGAGTTCTTATGGAATGGGCTACCAAAAAGGAGATGCATCTTGTTGGTATAGGCAATATTAATTAATCATTATAAATCTTCCTTCAACCATGCAGTATCATACCTGCACAACCTCATGATCCCTCTCATTCTGATGTGAATTCGGTTTTTTCCAAGAAGTTGCTAGGGGTGTCTCATTGTCATGCCTCGTGTACCGACAACCACTCCTTCGCCCTCTTCGGCCTCAGGTTCTACATGCCCACCGACTTTCGCTTGGTTCGTCCCCAAACCACCTCGTGCTAGGAAATTTCTGCTTTAATACCATTTGTAACACCCCAATCTGTTTTCAGGATTACCGACTGACCCCACAAACCAACACGAGACTTTTTAGCATACTTTGTTCTCACTCACACGTTTTTCGATAAGCTTCTCAAAAGGCCACCCATCCAAATACTACTCTAAGTCAAACAAGCTTAACTATTGAGTTCTTATTTGTTAGGCTACCGAAAACAAGATGCATATTCTTTTCGATAGCTTGTTCCATGAGAACTTCATAGTTAGGCGTGCTTGACTTGATTAATTTTGGAATGAGTGGCCTTCTAGAAAGTTTCTCATGAAGTGTGTGAGTGGGGATAAAGCATGTTGAAAGACTCATGTTGCTTTACGGGGTAAGTTGATAATCGTGAAAGCAGTTTGGGGCGTTACAAATGATATCAGAGCATACCTCTTCTAATACTGTGTGGTTTAAGAACAAATCAAGCGGAAGTTGGTGGGGATGTAACACCTGAGGCCAAAGAGGACGGAGAGTGGTTACGTGTAACACCTGAGGGCAAGATAGTGGTTGCCGGTGCACGAGACATGAAAATGAGACACTTCTAGCAACTTCTAGGAAAAACTGAATTCACATCGAAATGAGAGGGATCTCGAGACTGTGCAGGTATGAGACTGCATGATTGAAGGAATGCTTATAAGGATTAATTGATAATACCTATACCAACAAGATGCATATTATTTTCGGTAGTCCGTTCCATAAGAACTCCACAGTTAAGCGTGTCTGACTTAGAGCAATTTTGGGATGGATGACCTTCTGGAAAGTTTCTTGGAAAGCATGTAAGTTGAGACAAAATATGCTAAAAATATCCGTGTTGGTTTGTGGGGTCAGTCGGTAATATTTACACATAACATAAATTTATATAATTTCGTACTTGTTATAAAAGCATAATGAGGATGGCCCATTACTTGGAGGGTTTTTATAGTGTTTGGAGTTGTTGATGGTGCTTAGAGCTAACTCACACATAGTGTCGAGAAGTTTTATATATGTGATTTAAGGGTGAAATTCATCCTTATTCCTTAACTTTATGGATGATGTACTTATAGATACCTATTGACATGTGACATAACTAGAAAATTTGAATAGTGGAGGCAATAATTTTTTGATATAAATTGAATATTCTTTATGAACCGAGAGGACCTCAATAGACAGTAAAACTTTCTCTCAAAAGATTTGGCAGTGATGCATGTCTAATATTGAGTTCAAATATAAAGTCTCTGGTTAAATTGGTAGAGACTCTTACAATCCCAATCAAGTGCTCTTGAATAGTGGGAATATATACATATAATTTATGAATTTATGATTATTTCGAGTTTTTCTTATTTTCAAATTAAAAAGATAAAATAAATATTTGAAATCATTTATTAATTAGAATACTATACTTTATATTTAAAATTAAATTTAGGTGATATATATATATATATATATATATATATATATATATATATATATATATATATATATATATATATATATATATATATATATATATATATATATATATATATATATATATATATATATATATATATATATATATATATATATATATATATATATATATATATATATAATTTTAAAAAATAAACTAGGTAAACAAATATAAAATATAAAAATATATATTATTAAAGGTAAATTTTATCTAAAAGTTAAATGAATAGAAACAAGACTGCGATTTAGTTTGCTTAAATAGTTATTATGGTGTTGTATTATTATATTGATATTAGAAACATATGTACTATGTAGAGAAATTGAAATGAAGTGGGGACACATGCATACACTGTGTGCAACGTAGCTCCGTCCCTATTTGTTGGCCATGAACCTTTGAACTTAAGGAATGATTATCGTGTTTTTCTCTTAGGAAAGTGAGATGCAAAATTCGTTATTATCCCAATTATTATGGAGAACATGGTTTCCCCTTTTGATTGATCTTTTATTATATTTTTCATAAAGTCGCATCACTCCCCATGTTTCATAAGTGAATAAGGGATAAACTGACCAAAGCCCAATAGGGATGAGTGTTGTGACCAGTGAGCGATTAAAAGGCTAACTTTGGGCGGCATGTGGTGTTAACTTTGCACTCACTCTGGTGCTAGTAAGTATGACTTTCCTTGCTTCCCTTTGTATTACATTTGCTTTGGCACAACGAATTATCCTAGTATCCAGTCCCTAAAGAACGAGATCTATGAAATTACAAACTGATTTAATCCCAAAACAAAAGATGCTATATTAGTGGACGAGACTTAGACAGTCAAGTCCCTTGGGTGAGACTCTTTAAATGAGATTTTTAAGCCTTTGAACCCTTGTTTGCAACCGAGTCCCTCAGGCGCTGCTTTAGAGGGAGCGTCCCTTTAGAGTTACAATATTTGATGCTTATGCACACATTTTGTTTGCTACTTATTTTTTCAACCCGAATGAATTTTTCGCTTCCCCTAAACCTATAAAATTTCTTTGGGGTGAGTCCCTTAAGCGTTGCTAAATTTTTTATAGAAAATTAATGTTTGACACCGATGTCAATTGATCCACTCTTATATATATATATATATATATATATATATATATATATATATATATATATATATATATATATATATATATATATATATATATATATATATATATATATATTGTGGATCAACTTATTACATGCCATAACCTTTGAATTGAATCTAATCTAATGGTTAAGTTAATAATTTTACTTATAACCATTCGATTAAATCTAATTTAAATGTTACGATTTTGGAGTAAGTTAAAAAAATTTATCTTAAAATAAGTTGATTCATATATATATATATATATATATATATATATATATATATATATATATATATATATATATATATATATATATATATATATATATATATATATATTCCATTTGGATATTGAATGAATATTGCCTTGTTTTTTCTTTTAAATAAAAAATATATTCTGTCTTGTTTTCTTCAAAATAAAAAATATATTTTATTTCAATAAAAAATATGTATATTTTTTAAAAAGAAAAGAAAAAAGAAAGGATTATAAGGGCAAAATGCCTCGAATATTCCCTTTTGCTCTCTCTTTCGACGGGAGTCGATATTTTCAGATTTTGTCCTGAGGCCATCCTCACTCGTCCCTGATAATCGTTGGACACGAAACAAATTTCCCCAATCTGCTTGAAGATCGGGATTTCTCTCCCAGGCTTAACCATCCTAATTTAAACGGTTCACATGCTTCAGTTTCTTTCTCCTAAATTTCTAGGGTTTCAATTTTGATCCCGCCAATTTTAGATGCATAGCAGCACGATACCTGATTTCGCTTTTTTTCTTCCTCCGATCATACTTCATTCATAGGTAGGGTTTTACTTGATGTGTGCACTTTGTTCTTCAATAAGGAAACTTAGTTGAATTCATTGTTTCTAAGTTTTAGGGTTCTAGAAACGGAATTGTTCCTTTTCCGCTATAGGCGTTAGGGTTAGATTTTCCGTTCGAATTTAGCATTTCAAGTATATTCATGACGACAGGTAGACATGGAGGTTATCACGATCACAAATTCAGGTATAGTGAGTCTGATTTTGGTATTTCAAGGAGTGGTTTTACTACTAATAATTTTAATGAAGAGTATGATGCGGTTAGAAATGGTAAGGGTCGGAGGAGGAATTTGAGAGATAGAATTATTACAAGGGAGAGAGAAATTTCAAATGGTAGTTACAGGTCATCTTCGAGTAGGAGTGACTCTAGCAGTGGTGGCGGCCTTAGTGGCAGGCTTGGTCCTAGAAGATGTGATTTTTCTGTCAATACTATGGATAGAGAGCCAGGCGAACTTTCTAGTGAGAGTGGATCTGATGTTGAAGCAGAGCCACTGGTAAAACGCCATAAGGTTGTGATGGGTAAAGAGTTTGATTATGATGTTGAATCAGAATCACTCTTAAAACACCATGAGGTTGGATTGGGGAAAGAAAATGGGACTCAATCTCCATTACAAAGGAAAAGGAAATTTTCACCAATAGTATGGGATCAAGATGACCACAAAGTGACTAATTTATCCAAGCTTAAGGTTGTTACGACAGTGACTGCTGTTTCTCCACCACCTCCATTCCCAAGAGCAGTCAATGAGTCGCCTCATGTTCCTTACAATGGAGTTGAAGTTCCTCCTCCTGAGAATCCTGTGTTACCGACTGCAATGGATCCTTATATGGTGTCTGAGTCAGTTCAAAATGCTGAATCTGAGTCTCCTATAGGTTTGAATTCACTGTTGTCAGAGCAGAAGTTGGTTAACGGGAACATTGAGCAACCAGAAGTTGAAGATTACATTTCAACTCGCAATATATCATCTTCAAGATGGGCATCTGGAGATGGCTCTTCGGGTGATGAAGGTGAAATCATTGATGAGAAGGAAATCCTTAAGAAGAGAAGGCTATCTCTTGAGGTGGGTATGAGAGTACGAAACAAGATGTTGAGACCAGAGGAATCTAAAATTGAAGGTTTTGAAAGGTCTAGAGCCAAATCATCCGAATCTGAAGAAAGAGGTAGCACTGGGAGATATTCCGGTGAAGATGATTATCTTGGTATTGAGGCAGGGAAGGACAGCTACATGGAGATTGATGGCAGAGTTTGCAAAAGTAACGCAAGTGGTAGTCACAAAAATACTGATTCTGAACGTGAAGACGATTGCAGGGAAAGTATGGAACCTCCGTCTCCACCCCAGAGAGTTGTCAACATGCTTCAGGGGTGTAGAAGTGTTGATGAGTTTGAGAGACTGAACAAGATTGATGAAGGGACATATGGTGTTGTATATAGGGCCAAAGACAAGAAGACCGGTGAAATAGTGGCACTGAAAAAGGTTAAGATGGAGAAGGAAAAAGAAGGCTTTCCACTGACTTCTCTGAGGGAAATCAACATACTTCTTTCCTTTCACCATCCATTCATAGTTGACGTTAAGGAAGTAGTGGTAGGTAGCAGCCTTGATAGTATTTTTATGGTTATGGAATACATGGAACATGATCTTAAAGGACTAATGGAGGCAATGAAGCAGCCATTTAGCCAGAGTGAAGTAAAATGCTTAATGCTCCAGCTGTTAGAAGGTGTGAAGTATCTTCATGACAACTGGGTGCTTCACAGGGATTTGAAGACCTCAAACCTGCTTTTGAATAATAGGGGCGAGTTAAAAATTTGTGATTTTGGATTAGCTCGTCAGTATGGGAGTCCATTGAAACCTTATACATCATTGGTGGTTACTCTTTGGTACAGGTGAGTGATGTTTTTGTTAAATAAGCCAGTTGTTTATGTTTATTAACATCATTGATTAATTTTAAATTTGAATTATTTTCTTGGCTACATTTTTAATTTGTTGTTGCAAACTTGAAAACTATGTTGTCTCCATGCAGTCATTCACTACGGTAGAGCTATATCTTAATCTGCTATTATTCTGCATGAATATTTTTGTAGTAGGTATTGCAAGGTTGCTGTAAGTGACCAACCTCGTCTTTCGGTGACCTGTCCGTTTTAGGGAAAATAAACATACTTCTTTCCTTTCACCGTACTTTAAGTATATTTTCCATACTTTTATAAACACTTAGCAAGAGGTTTGTTGCTATTGTAGTGCATGCTTTATTAGTGGCATTTGACCCTAGTTTATTGTGCATTTTATCATGTCTATGATTGCATTTTCCTGCAATGGAAGAGATCATCTGATTCATGGTTGTTTCTTAGGGCTCCTGAACTTCTTTTGGGGACAAAGCAGTATTCAACAGCCATTGACATGTGGTCCCTGGGTTGTATAATGGCTGAGCTTTTGTCCAAGGAACCATTGTTTAATGGGAGAACCGAATTTGATCAACTTAACAAGGTATATTTTTAAATGCCTAGTATTGTAGTGGATAAGTTCTCACTCTCACTACTCTGGCCTTTCAACTTTTGGTGCCACTTAGCCAAGGCTGATTAAGATATATTAATACATATTTGCAGATTTTCAGAATTCTTGGCACCCCAAATGAAACAATTTGGCCCGGGTTCTCAAAATTACCTCTAGTCAAGGCCAATTATGTCAAGCATCAGTAAGTAATTGTGATTTCCTTTATGCAAGACATTGATTGTTTGGTTCCTCTGTTCTTATATTTTGCCACTTTTTCCCAGGCTTCAACTCTGTGTGGTTCTGGTCTGGCCATATGGCCTCCCTGGTGACTCACTTTTACACGAATTTCCTACTGTGTATTAACCACTGGAATGTTCCTTTCAGGTATAATCTCCTGCGCAAAAAGTTTCCCGCAACATCATTCACTGGATCCCCAGTTCTTTCTGATTCTGGATTTGATTTGTTGAACAAGCTTCTCACTTATGACCCTGAAAAGGTAAAAATCATATCTGCCTTTTTGATTAGTAATTACATATTTGTTTCAATGCTTGTTAAGAACACAAGCTATTGTTGTTATTGTCTAAAGAGGATCACTGCTGAAGATGCTCTCAACCATGAATGGTTTCATGAAGTTCCCCTTCCCAAGTCTAAAGAATTCATGCCTACATTTCCTGCTCGACATGATAAAGAAAGGTGACATAATAAGATATTACTTTAGCAAATGCATTTATAATTTTACTTGTTTGTTTGATACTTACATATGCTTTTATATTGCACCAGGAAAATGCGAAGAATAATGAAGAGTCCACATCCGTTAGAGAAGCACCAGAAGGATTTGCAGCTGGGCGAATCAGGAACTGGTAGTATTTTTGGTTAATAATGGTGCAATGTAAAGTTTTGGTCTTAAAAGTCATTTTAAAACTGTTGAATGTTTGCATGCTTGAGGTGAGATTATGCACTGGATGGATGTTCTTAGACGATAGCTTGTGCTGTTTTTTTTATCAGGCACCTGTTTTGTTTGGGTTGAGATATGTATTCTTTACCTCCTGGGAGACAGATTTATTTCAGGTTAACCTTCATTGTTGATCATCTTATAGAAATGCAAATGGGACACAACTGGCAGCATAAGGTGTGGTAGAAATGCCTTCTAAAGCTAGGAATAGTCCATTTATGCCGAAACTTGTAACATATTTTCATTCACCTACTGTAAACAATTTAAATCTGGTTGATTATTCAAGCAGTATGGATTTTCTTGCATCTATCAGATAGTTCTTTGGTTATTTTTTAATGTTCATATTGTGTTTGCAAGAGAAAGTTCGTGTGAAGTGGAAGAGTGCATTCTGTCCATTTTGTTGAAGAAAATGACACTTACTTTTCACATCAAAGGTAATGAGCTCCTTATGTATCTTAGATATCCAGGAATGAAAATTAGACTGTCAGTTTGAGAAATGATGTGTATAACTATAAGCCTCTGTTAACATGGTCTGATATTTGATAGTGTTTTTGTGTGTATGCTTCTACTCCCACTAGTTCTCAGCGTGTTGATGCTTTTCAATTTGGTTTTGTTAATGTCATGACTATGGGTTATATATTCTAGACTTCCAACATTTTAGAACCAACCGATACTTGTTTTGGATTGCAACTGCTGAAACTTCAATGTAAATTACAAAAGACTATTGTTTCAAGGGAATATCTTGTTTAGAACAGAATTTTGTTTAGAAAGGAATATCTTGTTTGGAAGGGAATATCTTGTTTAGAAAAGAATATCTTGTTTCAAGGGATTATTTTGCTGCCCTTTCATAGAAGTTTCTTGAATCTAAGTGTGTGAGCCAAGTGGATGAATTTAGAAGAATTTCATGTGTTTTTTTGGTGTAAAAATTTGGTATCATTGAATAAGAATGGCTCCAGGTTTCATTGTTTGCAAATTGGCTTTTATGGTTGTATCTTTAAATTATGAGGATTGAAGCATCAAATGAAAGTTAAAAATGTATTTTTAGTCTGGTGATCTCTGTAATATGTTGTAGTAACTAAGAATGTTAAATAATGCTTGAGCACAAGTTAAAGTAAAATATCGTATCGTAGTATGTATTCATCATATACGGATTGAAAAATTCAAAGGTTTGAATATTCTTTTTTGACATTTGTATGTGGATGTCACTGCAGTATCAAAGCTAGCAGGTTGAGGATGTTACCTGTATACCCTGGAATATATGGAACTATGTTCCATCAGGCTCTCTAGAGGTACCATCCAAACCTTGGTTTGTTATAATACATCTCTGCAGTTCTATCAACTACCCAGATTTTTAAGATCACAATCTTTTATTTATTTCTGTTGTGCATGTTCTAGTGATTCCTTGTATAGTTTATTTTTATTTCTTGACTGAATGTTTCAGTTAGGCTTTTAGACATTTTATTTGTGCCACAATACTTGAAACCATGGGTAGAACTATGTTTTGTTTTTGCTTTTTCTTTCCTTTTTACGATATTGGTATATGATAAATGCCATTCTCATCAACTTGAAAGTGGGATACACTTGCTGCTTCCCTGTTAAGGCCAACAATGGATTTGACAACTGGGGTAGAATCACCTAATTACTAGTAATCACTACATTAGTTTGTACAGCTGGAAGATGTGCTCGTTTTGTTAGGAACTGCAAGTATCGTGTCACTCATAAAATTTAGACATTTTGATGTATTACCACAAATCCCTCTCTTGTTTTTTTTTAATATTTTTTTTTGCATGTTGTAAGTAAATACTCCAAATTCCTTTTCTTTACCCAACTAAATTTTACATATATTCTGATACCAGTTCGAAATTTGTAGAAATATGAATGTTGTATGTTATTTCTTGGTTGAATGAAGTTTGTAGCAGTGTGAATTGCCCGTGGGCCATGGTCTTCACAACCAATTATTCAAATGGGTTGGTGTCAACTGTCTAGGGTTGGAGGATTCTAGCTACCACCCCCAAAATTAAACCTGGCATACCCCCAACTTTTATAATTCTAAAATTGTCTTTGTAAAAATCTGAAACAAGTGAATTTTTTACATTAACGGAAATTTCAAAATTTTTGGTAATCTGAAATTTTTGTAAATTTTGAAATTGGCGGTATTGTACTAGAAATTTTAAAATTTTTTGTAATGAAAAAATTTCAATTTTTTTTGCACTACCATCAATTTTGAAATTAGTGGTACAATAATGGAAATTTTGAAATTTTTGGTACAATACGATTAATTTTCGAAATTTTCATTATTGAAATTTTTGGTACAGTATGACTAGTTTTGAAATTTTCATTATTGAAATTTTTGGTACAGTACGACTAATTTTGAAATTTTTATTATTGAAATTTTTGGTACAATACGACTAATTTTGAAATTGGTAGTAGTGTAAAAAAACTTTTTCATTTTTTTTTCAGAAATTTTGAAATTTTTGATTAAAAAAATGAAAATTTTCATATATATAATGAATTTTTTGATATACACCTGTAAAGTTTATAATTTTTGAAGAACAAAAATGGTATTTCATCGTAATAGGGGTGTCAAGTATTATAAGTGTGGGGTGTCAGTAAGTGAGAGGGTGGCAATTAGAATCTTTCTAGGGTTGTGTTCTAGACTCAACAAATTGGCATTTAGATGGGTTTATTGATTGTAATTTGCTTCACGTGATATTAGAATTTTCTCAAATATCTGTCTGAGTATCCGTTTGAGAAAATTGTGTTGATGTATTTCCTTTTCTACTTTGATTAATTGGTTTGGCTTTAGTGTTTTAGTCTAGGATAGTTCTTTATAAATCAGCTAATAACAGTGAGTATTGTAAATAAAATGTTTTGGCGAGTGTTTTCAGCACTACCATTATGTTTAAGGGTCTGTTTGGTTCAAATGAGGGGGAGGGGAGGGGAGGGATTTTAATGAAGGGGAGGGGAGGGGAGGTGAATGAATTTTTTAATCAAATAAGTGTTTGGTTCAAAAGAGGGGAGGGGAGGGGAGGGATTTTAATTAAAAATGTGTTTGGTTCAGAAGGGGAGGGGAGGAGTTTTATTAATAATTTACATTTTTATCCTTATGAGCTTATATAAGTCATATGATATTAAAATGTGAAAAATTCCTGCGTATTTTTGTTGGTAATAAAATTTTTAATATTGAGTGATTAAAAAAGTATTTATTTGTCACATAAAGTTAAAAAATCGAGTACAATCGATTCGACTTATAACTTTTCAACATAAATTAAACTATATGCCAATAACATCGTTTAAATTGTGATGAATCATATAACAAAACAAATATATAAAATAACTTATTACTAAATATTAATGGTTTAAAATATTTAATAAAATGAATAAACAAAAATAAATAAAATGATATGGTTTACAATTTGATATAAAAGAAAATATGATAGAGTACATAACAAAATTAAAAGAAAAAAACAAATATAACGAAACATAATTTTTTTTATAAAAAAAAGACAATGATTATGATTTATATTAATTATAAAAATTATAAAATAATTTGAAGGTGAAGAACAATTATAATAAGTTGATGAAAACAATCGAGAAAAAACAGTAACACAAAAGATAACAAATAGTTTTGAAATACTGAAATTAAACTGAGGATATTTTAGTAAATATAATAATTTTTAAATATCAAAACTCATATTCCCTCCCCTCCCCTCCAAATCCCCCCAATTCGGAGGGAACCAAAAAGTGTGTTTTGAAGGGATTTTGCTCCCCTCCCCTCCCCTCCCCTCCCCTCCTAGAATTTGAACCAAACATATTTAATTAAAAATTTCCCCTCCCCTCCCCTCCCCTCCATCTACCCCGAACCAAACACACCCTAAATATAGAGATTTCTTATCTCATCCCTTGACTTTCTTAGTCACCTCGCAAAATTATTTTTATACCTTATATTTTTAGAGATACATATCTCGACATACATTTTTTAGTCAAAATTTAATTGTTTTTGGAGTTACATCGGCGGAAGTATTTTCTACTGATATACATTGAGGAAATTTCAAAATAAATTAGTGCAGAGAAACTTTCGGAGTTGTAACTTTGGAACGTCTGAGCGCCAGATTGTTTTGTAAATACAACTTCGAAAGTTTCTGCTATATTTTAAACCTACATGATCACTCATCCATTGTTGTCTTTTCTTATTCCATATTCACTTCACCAACCTAAAAAAAATCCTATATTATCAATATCATTTTCACTACAAGACTTCAACTTTTTCGTGCAACAAATTATAGGGAGCAAGTGAAGATATAATTTCAAATAAAAATTTCCATTTTGTCCACTACATTGCTCACATTAATCATCAATCTTTTAGAAAAGAATTTTACGTTGCTTTCGGAGCCGTGCCTTCGGAACGTGTTGAAGATGAACACTTTCTGATGTACATCTCTGGAACGTATCTGTCTGTTTTTTTCAACAACTTTGTAATTTTTTTGCTTATTTTCCTTATTGTTTACAAATAAATATGATGCATCCCGATAACATCTCAAAAAAATTAGATCCTTTCAAACGACGTTTTTTCGAATGTTCAAGGGGTTGTCGTAAAGTCGGTAGATGTTGATGTTGACTTTAATGACAAGCAAGAGTTTGATGATTGTGAAAGCATGCTCACATGGATTCGTAGGATTGCAACAAGACTTGGTTTTGGTGTGGTTATAAGAAGATCAGATAATGGTTCAAAAAGAAGAAACATTTTTGTTTGTTGTGTGAAAGAAGCGGTAAATATCAAATTCCTCTCTGAAAATTTAAAAGAGAAGACACAGGTAGTAGAAAATGTGTGTCCGTTTAAGCTTCGTGGTTACATGATGAATAGCAAAAAGTGTAAATTTAGTGTTATTTGTGGTTTACATAACCATGATTTATGCTCAAAGTTA